ACCTGTGCCAGCGCAAGCTGTGTACGAATCCTGTGGCAATGCAATCCCCCCCACGTCTTTCTTGGGTCCCTTTAGTGGCCCGGCCCGTTTCACCTTGTTCTGAGCGTCTCGAGAGTGCGTGTCAGTAGCGAACCTGCTTCGTTTTGCATCTCAACGGGTCAGGGGTAAGTGAAGGAAGGAAGGAAGGGGTGACTTGATTTCATTGACTTGATGTGACTTGATTGTGGGTGGGGGAACATTCGGTGAAGAGGGGGAAATTGTGCGAGGTGTGGTGCATGGGTTGGACTGGTTGTGAGCAAGCTTGTCAGAATGAAATTTGGGGGGCAAAGAAGAGGAGCTTTTGACGGAGAAACTTTTGCAAGAGCTTTAGTGGGATCTGTGGCATCGGTCTAGAAATGTTTTTTGGGGGCCAGGTTTATCACGGAACGTGAGTGTAGCCATTCATGGTAGAGAAATTGGTCGAGCGTTGCTCGACAGTGGACGGCATGCGGATTCGCTACACCGAGCAAGACTCGACTAGCCTTGCTCGCTCCTTTGCCGCTACTCCCAGCAGCCTCACGACGAGATGGCGATGCTTCTAGGCTTGCTAGCCTCCTCCTTGTCCTTTTTGGCAATCTCCAACTTGAGCAAGCCATTCTCATACTTTGCGCTGACAGCGTTCAGATTAGCTGTGGGTGGCAAGGCGAAAGAACGGGAAAAGGATCCATAATGACGTTCTAGCAGTAGAGGATGAGCGACTTTACCCTCCGCTTTGGCTTGTCGAGCTTTGACGTCGCTGGATGATGCGTCCGAAGAGTACTCGTTCTTGAAAGCACCTTGAACAGTCACGCGTCGCTTCTTGTCGTCCACTTCTAGCGAAATGTCTTCCTTTGCCACTCCCGGAATTTCGGCGGTGACGGTGAACTGTGGCGCCGATGAAGAGGAATCGAATGAGCACAAGAGAGAGGAGGGGGTCAATCTTGATGAACGACTTTTGCTCTCGGGCCGCCCACGAGCCATTTGCCCTTGCATCGATGCACGCACCTTGTCGTGATGCTCGTGAATGTCGAGCCTAGGACCTCCCCAAATTTCGGAAGGGGTCCAATTCTTGCGTGGAGGTCTAGCAGCAGCAGCTACCTTGTTACCTCCTTCGCCTGCTCCACTGCCATGGTTGGCTCCATCGATGTAGATCGCGTAGGGAGTGGTCAGATCATCGATGAGGTTGGAGAAGGGTGAATAGCTGTGTGCGGGGGGGGACGAGATGGTATGAGCTTGTGAGTCATGCGTGTACGAGTTTCAAGAGTGCGTCGACTTACAATCCGAGACTCATTGTTGATGCGAGGATTGAGCAAAGATGAAGAAGTTTGGCTGTGGCAAATGTCTTGGTGACAGCTATGTGTGGGATGCTTTGAAGCTTGTTCGCGAGCAGTGGTGAGTACTGGGTTGAACAGGTGCTTTGTGGAAGGCGAGTGAGTGCACGA